ACTGTCACGGCAACACAATTACATAAATGTAATGTCAACGGCAGTACAATTACGTTAATTAACTATCATTGACAGTATAATTACGTTAATTTACTGTCAGTGACAGCACAATTACGGTCAACGTTTAGCGGCGGACGTGGAAAAACAAAACAAACCAAACAAAACAAAACAAAACAAAAAACTTAAAAAAAACACTAAAAAAAGAGACCGCCGGAAACCGGCGAAAAAATCCGGAAGAAAAGAAAAGAAAAAAAAAAGAAAAAAGCAAAAAAAAAAAAAAAAAAAAAACAAAAGTCAACGCCGGAGACCGGCGTTGACCGCCGGTCAACGCTGGAAACCGGCGAAAAAATCCGGAAGAAAGAAAAAAAAAAAAAAAAAAAAAAAAATTAAAAAAGTCAACGCCGGAAACCGGCGTTGACCGCCGGTCAACGCCGGAATCCGGCGGCAAAAAAAAAGTTTTTGAAAAAAAAATATTTTTTGAAAAAAAAAATATTTTTGGGTCAAAATTTAATAATTTGTGAAATTTGGGGTCAAATTGAGATTAAATTAAGTTAAGGATGAAATTGGAGCATATTAAATTATACTCCAAAAAAAAGTCAAAATTGAATTTTTGTGGTCAAAATTGAACTTTTATGGACAAAATTGATTAATTTGGATTACAATTAAGAATTGGGTATAAATGGTTGAGGGTAATATTGGGATATACATGAATGTTTCCTTTAGTTATAATAAATATTAAAGGGATGGGCTTATTGGTAAAAGAGATATGTCCCCTAAACCTAGAATAATAAACATGCTTGGTTGGGGACTTTTGCATAAAAATCCCAAAAAACAAAGCCGGTATGTATATATGTAGGGGCAAAATGTAGGTGGAGGCGAAGAACACAAAAGAGGAATTTCCTGGTATAGTTGTCAAGGCTCATGAAATTCTTGCACTATGTTGCATTGCATACAAAAAAATTGACAGTTAGAAAAAAAAGGGTAGATTTCACAATATTGGTCTGCATAACATCACGTTATTCACGCAACACTTCTCTTTTTTTTGTCTTGTTTCTCTTTCCCTCAACCACCACATAAATTTAAAAAAAAACTCTTAAACAAATTGTTTATTCTGCAAAAAGTTTCATAAAAGTAGCAAATGTAAATCTTCAGTTTTGTAATTACTTGTAAAAAGGAAAAAAAAAAAAAAAAAAAAAAAAGTGAAAGTAAGAAAGTAATTAAAAAGTAACATATATATGATCCTCAAATGTATAAAACAAGAATCTGCAATTGGTATTTAGATTCTGCCTTTTTCTTTACCATTTCCATTTTTTATTTTTATTTATTTTAAAGTATAATTTTAATTAAATTAATTTATACACATGGATGTTTGTGATTACAATTCGAATTCACCCAGTGTAAATAACCAAGTGTAACTTCTAATTTCCCAGTCTACTATCATATAACTTTTGCGAAGTCGAAAAAGAAAAAAAAAAGAAGAAAACACTATGCATATAAAAAACCGTATTCGTAAAACAATTTGAAAAAGAAGGGGCTCTGGGGTTATTTCTATGTTACACCCTGTAAAGACTACAATGCGTGATTTTTTACTGTTGATCTACACACACCAATATGAAAGTGTGTGTGCGTGTTTATGTATTTGAATGGTAACGATCTACCCAGTATAACATAGGGCTTTAGGGCTTATACGAACTCGAATTGTAGACCTTTGGAAAAATGATGGTTGTCGGAACTTCTACGCTTTACACTTTCCGATTCGAATCTAATTAAGAGAAATTCCAATGCGACATTACTCCATCGATTTAGTGCGATTTTATACTATCTAAACTTATATCTTCTTCTTTTATTGTAATAAGATATAACATCTTATAAAAACAACTAAGAACATAAATTAAATAAGATCTTTTTTTAATAAAATACTTTAGTTCAAAATAAATCAAACAAATCTTAATAATAGAAATTGTTTTGATACATGCAAAGGAGAATGATTCAAAAGCATGGGGAAGAGGGCTCATTGTCCAAGAAAACCAATCACCAAAGCTAAAAACACAACACATTTTTCCAACCCTATCCCCACATTGTTTCCTCTCTCTCTCTCTCTCTTCTCTCTCTCTCTTAAACTCAGACAATCTTCCATTGAATACAATTTCAATGGCCACCACCTTTTTCAGACACCCCACCAGATTGCACCACTCCTGCAACTAATTATTACTCGAATGTATATATTTATATATAATTAATTAAATAAAACAATCTATGGTATATATTATATGTATATATATATAATATATATTTAAATAGGCAAGCTTATAGGCTTTTATGCAGTTGCAGTATATATACATACACATTGTCAGAAGAGCTGAGACACAGTTACCTGATAGAGGGAGACAGTGAGACAGTGCACAAGAGTTGTTTCAGAACACTGACTCAACTTATCATAGATTTGCCATTAAACCCCCCACCATTTATTTATTGGTCCATAAACCCCCACATCATCAATCCCAAAGAGATTTAACCCAATATATAAAAAATAAATAATAAAAAATAAAATGAATATAATACAAAGCTAATTATTAACTAGTCTAATCCTTGTTAATTAATTTTGTATACAATGCTATACAAGATAGATAACAAATTCCTACCATTGTTCTAGGTTTATGTAAGAAATACGTACAAATGAAATTAGATGTTACATCTGATTATTTGCATTGAATTAATCTGAACGGTGAATTAATGAAATAACTACATACTAACTATAGATACACATGAATTATGGTCTATCCATTCAGTGTAAATAAGGTGTAACATCTAATTTTTTGAATGAATTGTTGTGAAAAGAGAATAATATTATGAAGATTGATTAAATAAATACAAATAACAAATTAACATTTCTTAATTGTGATGATCTTTCTTTTCCTAAATGAATTGTCCATTGTTTCTTGATTTGATCTGCACCAAAAGAAAAAAGAAAAGACAACTCAAACAAAGACAACTCTTGACGGGAACAAATCCTAACCTATAATTAAAGATATTAAGAAAAAAAAGAAATTAAAGGAGATTAATTAAGTTTTCATGTTTTTCTCTTGGATTTCATCAAACACCTTTTTAAATTATGGGAGTGAAGCGTACTGATTGAGATCACTCCATGCTTGAAGATTACTCCAGTTGCCGCTGTTATTCTGATCGTTCACATTGCTGCCGCTAGACGCCGGAGTTGGCGTCACGGCGGCGTAGGAGCTGTTGTCGAAAAACCATTCCGTCGACAGGTTCTGGTTTCCGCCGCCGCAGTGGTCTGATCTTCTTTGAGTCCCGGCCCCACAAGATTCGTCCGCCTTGGAAACATCGAGATTCTGAAACAAGATGGGCTGGGGTTTCTGAGCGAGATTTAAGGTTCCTATATTCGACGGCGGCGGAGCGACGGCGGCGTTGTTTTCTCTCTGGTGGTGGTGATGATCGCCGACGAACATCATGGATAGCCTCTGCTGCTGAAGTTTCCAGTGCAGATCTTGGTTGATCGAGCTCAATGATTCAATGGAGGAAGCGAGGTTGCTCTGGAAATTATTCTCTCCTTGCTTGATTAACGGAGACGAGAACGGAAAGTTGAACCCCATTAACGGAGGAGAAGAAGTTGTCGCAGAAGGGTCGAAAGCCGTGAAACACGGCGTCGACGATATTGCACCGCAGGTGTTCGACAAATCGCCGAAGTGAGAGAACTGGTTGAAAAGAGGTGCGGCGGGGAAGTTGATCATCATCGCCGCCGCCGCCGCCGACCCTCCTCCGAGCTGAAAATCCATAGCCGGCGAGATGCCCTGAAAGAACTTCAACCCGCCGTTCCCGTCGCGGCCCGACCCGCCGGAGTTATCCATCGAGTCTCCGCCGGTGGAGAGCCTCGGGGAGGAGGAGGACTTGGACGACTTCTTGTTTTTCCGGCAGCCGCCGCCTATGGGGACGTTCCGCAGCGCGCCGCCTCTTGTCCAGTACCGCCTGCATGTCTTGCAGAAGTGCCTCGGCTGGGCGAGGCTGTAGTTGTTGTAGTAGCAGAACTTCGTGTTCGGGGAATCGCACCTCGGGCATTTCAGCGCCGGCTCCTGCGGCGGCCTGGCGGCCGCCGCCGCGGAGGAAGGGGTTCTACGGTCGTCTTTTCCGGCGGCTGGTTTGTTATTAGCAGGTGACATGATCATCAGTATTACTTTCAGTATAAAACCCTAAAGTTTTTGTACTTATAGAAAACAAAAGAGTGCAGAAGGGTTAGAGAGAGAAAGTAGTAGTATAGTTTGTTTGTTTTTCAGTTATGTTTGAGGAGAGAGAGAAAATTAATTAAAAGAAAGAGATGAAATTGATTAGTTTCATGCATGGGGGAGTTGATAGACAGTGAGAGAGAGAGAGAGAGAGAGAAGATGTTGATGGGGTCCTGTGAACTTCATCAAGAAGATAAACAAATAATGTAAGCTAAGCTGTGTCTTTGTCTATCTGTGTGTATTTGTGTGTGAGAGAGAAAGTAGAGAGAGAAAAATGTGTGTGTGTGTGTGTGTGAGAGAGAATGGGGAGGTGGTTTTGAGGGTGTGGTATATGAGACAAAAAAGCAGAGATGATGTATCAGAATTTAGAGATTTATATGTACCTCGAATATGAATAGTAAATGAAAACGAAAGCAAATTGGATGAAGGGAGAATATACTAATTTTTTTTATACATCCATTTTTATTAAGTTTCATAGTGAAAATTCGAGTGCATTTGACGAAATAATCGTACTATTACGTATTTTATATTTTATTTTGTTATTTATTTTATTTAATTTGCTACTTAAATCAAATGGAAGGAATATTATTTTTTAAGTTCTTTGGATTATTATCAAAATATGAAAAAAAAAACACTAATGCACAAAAGTATTAGTACATATATTGTATTATATATTAAAGTCTTGGTTCGATTATTTTATCAAAAAGCATTTTTTTATTTTTCAAATAATTACCCCTTAAATTGTACAAGTGAAATACTAGTTTATGAGAATTTACGTTTTTCACAAAATAAAATATTATGAACTATTTATTTTGTTTCTATACCTAATAGTTTACAGATCAAACCAGTTGAAAATAGTTGATATTATTGCAAATATTTACGAAATATTTTTACATTTATTTTAACCCAAGATTTCATAATATATAAAAGGGGCCATTGAGATATATAATAATAATAATAATAATAATAATAATAATAATAATAATAATAATAATAATAATTTTGTACAAATAAATTTTATTAATATTTTTTCTTGAAATAACCCTCTCACATGTCAAACTTCTGTAAATATTAATAATAGAGGTAATTTAATCACATGTTATAGAATATGAAATTTTAGAGTGTTGTTATCTAAGTTCATAAACTATTAAGGTGGTATTTGCAAACATTTTTTCAAAGTGATTATAAAAAAATTTAATGTTTAAAAAAAATTGACTTTGAACCAAAAAAAAAAATTATAGTCACTTTGAAAAAACCATTGGCAAACACCACCTAAATAAATATCATAATTAGTCTTTACCAAACCTATAGGCAAGTTT